GTTAGGCATGTCACATGCCAATGTTGCCCTTGAAACCTTATATTTTGAGTCATTTTATGATATATTTGAAAATGTAATGCATGTAGTCTCTCTGTACTTTGCAGTTTCTTCGTTCATACTCAAGTATAATATATTTGTCAGAAATCTAGATTTACAGAATGCTTCTTAAAATCTGAATTGTTTATTATGTCATAATTCTAGATCCACTATGTTGCTAAATGGAGGAACATCACATTCATGACAAGTAGACAAGGAATGGGAGTTGGTGGTGGAACAGTAAGATTCATCTGCTTTAGTTTTTCCAACCTGTATAATTTGTATGGCAAATATCAGGAAATCTTAGCAGCTCAGTTGGTTGGCTGACTACCTGAACTTTTCTCCTTGTTGGTGAGGATTCGCTTCCCTACCTTATAATCCCCTTCCCCATTTCCCTTTTAGAAAAAAAAAGTATTGGAAATATCAGATTCAAGCTTCAAGTGTGGAAACCTGCTACATGTAAAACAATGAATACTATTGCATGATTAGTCAAGGCGCACCTTGGAAAGCTAGATTAGAACTCAAGCACCTTCATTTGAAATGTTTTGTATAGAAACCTTAGGTATAATTGTGTTATGACATTCCCGTTAGCTTAATTGATAGATTGATGTCATTTCCCTGCTTCTGGACAATGCCTATGTAATATTTCTGCTTCATGTTTATTTAATAGTCCTTGATTTGGAAATTTTGTCAATTCTCATAATCCAGTTCTATATGATACCTAATTGGAGAGGAATCATTTCATGGGAAACTACAAATAAATGATTACATTGAGTAAAGCAAGAGCCAAAATATATTGTCATTCTTTCTAAGTTTTTGAGTATCCATAGTCGTCCCTTTGAAAGTGATACTGGGAACATCCATCCTCTAAGAGATATGAAGAACTATAGAAACTTTTCTTTCTTTCCTCTACCTTTGTACAGTTTGCCTGGTTTTGATTTAAGATTTCGTTAATTCAATTTGCTTGGGTTTGACAGCATTATGGTTACGATGTACTTGATCTGGGTATAATATCAAAATGATCGAGAATTAATTTGTATTTGTGATGGAGTGGTATTCTCTACGTCTATCGTACGATGAACTACGTGACTTACTTTTTCTGTTTTTGAGATGCCATCATGTTTCTTATCCAATATCCTTTACTTCCTGTAGCCATATGGATTTGACGTTGGCCAATCAGAAAGGGGAACAGTCCTTAAAGGATTAGATCTCGGTGTTCAAGGGATGCGAGTAGGAGGGCAGGTGAGACAATTACCTTAATTGTACTTTCATCACATTCAGGATATTTCTCAATTGAACTGCATAACCTTCTAATGGAGTTTCCTGAGGAGAGGAATATGCTAAAGCTTGTTTTTTTATATATTTTATTTTTTCTAATTTGAAGAGTCAACTTCATGCCCCCGTCAAACCTCCTGCTCTAATTGTGTGATCAATATTCAACTGCTAAAGTTTTCTAAGCTTTTCAGTGTTAGCTTCCTCAAAATGAGAAAATGGGAACAATTTGAAATGAAAATCCAACACTATTGCTGAAGTCAGATCAAAAGAAGAAGAAATAAAATAGGATAGCTCAAACTGAAGGAATGATACAGGACTTCTATGCAGTAAGAAGAGATCGGACAAACTACAATTGAAGTTCCGTCGAGCAGTTCTAAGACGAGTAATGTTTTATGGGGTGAATTGGGCTTCTAATGTGCAACATATGCTTAAGATGGGTGCCCTTGAAATGTAGATGTTAAATTTTGATGTGCGATCATACAAGATTAGAAATTATAACATCTAACAAATTTGCACAAGTGGATATATATAGAAGATAACCTGAGAGAATGCTGCTAAGATGGTCTGGTTATGTCCTAAATAGACCTACAAATGCATAGATCCAATAGGTGCAACAATGTGATGATTGAATGTTTTTAAAGGAAATGTTGTAAACCTAAAGTCAACATTGGGGAAGTTAACTCAAGAGGCCTGCAGTCTCTAGATCTAGTGCAGACTTAACTAAGAACTAAGCACGATAAAAGAAAAAGATCTATATAGGTAATGCCACTAGTTGAGAATAAGACTTAGTTGTTATTATTACACTCACATAAGGTTTGACTTTTCCACAAGTCCTCCTTATCTAAATGAAGACTTGAATATCAGTATAAGAATAAATGTGAGATTTTAGAGAACCTCTAGTTGCAGAGAAACTCTACTTGCCTTAAAAGAGAAACTATACTTGCCTTAAAAGAGAAACTATTTAGTTATTGTAATGAAATGTGCCCGAATAGAGCATGGATATAGAGGATTCATATTAATGTATTGGAATTGAGGCATAATTGATTGAAAGTATAATTGTGGTCACATTAATGAGATCATCCTGTACTTGATAGTCAGTGCACAAAACATTTAAGTATATGTAGGCTTTTCATCAGAATGTCCTTTAGGTTCTAGCTTTTCCCTGAGCTTAGAATAATGAACTACAACTAGTTAAGTCATAATTCAGGGTGTCATGCCGATGACTGATGAAATATAACTCAGCATAGTTGCATCAATAATGATGGATTAATTACTTTACATGGAGGCGATAAACATTTGAAAATGAAAATGTTATGTATTTGCAGCGCCTGCTCATCGTTCCTCCTGAGCTAGCTTATGGGAAGAAAGGCGTGCAGGAAATTCCTCCAAATGCAACAATTGAGGTATCATTTTGTCGTTGCATTCATGTGCTTATACCGAAATTCCAAGAAAGACTAATCTTGTTTATCAAATAGTTTCTGAAGGCCATTTGGATTCAACTGTTTTGCACCCATTGTGGTCTATCAAACCTTTAAGTTGGTCTGTGGAATTCAAAATGCTGTCTTTACCTTTTCGCTATGAAAGATCATCATCATCACTCTTTTAGAATAACTTATCAGAATCATCAAATATGTGGCTAGCAGAAAACCTTTTTAATGGGAGCCTTCACCGTGAACCAGAGATTTGTGTTGATAGAAATATCGTGTTGGCATCTAACAGATGCAGAACATTCTTATCAACAGAAAAGTGTATCCTGCACGTATGGAATTTTATCTTTCTTGGGAAAAGTATGTGGGTGTGCAAAATACATCAGCCTCATAAAAGTGTAAACCTCCGAAAACAAAGATGACATAATCTTTAAAATATTCTTTTTTATGTGGTCACTTGTTAGCTTTGTTCTTTGTAAAAAAGAACGACCCCAAAGAAATGTTATATGAAAATTCTTTCAAGTCCTTTTCCAAACTGAGTGGCATGTGCTTGAGCTAAACCTTTTAGAGAAATGAAAAACATAAAATCTGCTACCTCCTACACATTCTCCCCCTTGTAATAATGTGTGTCATCATGTTTTATAATATGGCTACAAAGTGGTGATATTGCAGTAGCCTGATAAACCTAGCAACTTTGTAGTTTGAACGAAAACTTCAAACTGAGAACAAATGTAGAGAAACTTCGATTAAAATTTGTGTCAAGACTGTAACGTTATACATAACCCCCACAATTAAGAGCTGCACCTTGGATCACAACATCATTTCCTAACATCTAATAGGATCAGTTTTCTGCCCCAGTTCCGCGCAAGCTAGCCCAAACACCACCTCTACTCAAAAGAACGGAAATATCAGTTTTCCGCCACGCCTTTTTGCAAGTTTCATCTCTCATAATTTACTTATTCTCGAAATGGATGGTATTGTCTCTAACATTATTATGTGGTCATTGTATCTTTATTACTTCTTTCACCTACTGAATTTTTAATCTACAGATGGATATTGAACTGCTGTCTATTAAACAAAGCCCATTCGGGTGAGCAGCCAGCTTTTAGAATATTCAAAAAATTAATGGACTTGTTTCTTTGATTTAGCTTCATTATCCTCAGCATCTTATGTATTTACTGTAAATTCCTTTTTTTTTCTTTCGGTGCAGATCTCCTGTCAAAATTGTTGAAGGATAACCACAGTGTTCACCTACTTCATGTTATATTGATTCATCACCTGCAAAAGCACTCAGCCTATTGTATGAATTTTGAGAATACTAAGAGATCTGCTTCTGATTTGGTATTTTACCAGGAAAATGTCCCTAAATATGTTAATATTGTATAGTTCAAACTCATTGTCATGTTATGAGATTCAAATTGCTTTGAGCATATAAAAGTGCTGTAAGGACTTGTTCGAGAATAACCCCAAAGAAATGCCAGTGAGAAAATTCAGATATAGATAACTGAATCAACCAGGGGTGAAGCAACTAGTTCCCAGAGATATAAATAGTACAAAAGACATTAAGATTTAGTTTAGGACAAATTCAGCTCTGTAAGAGTCATTTAGGTGTCAAATTTCACCGTCTTGGACAAAATTCTTAGCTTCTCATTGGCTAGATTATGACATTTATAGTGTCTACCAAGATGGCTTATACTTCTCATTATGGCTTGCGGTCCTCTCTCTTTATAGATTTTAGTTACTGAATTTTATATTGGCACAGTTGTTTACATACTTCTTGCAGACTGCATTATTATATAGTGATGAAGTAATAGAGGACTGCTGCACATGTATGTTTATTGACAACTTGCAAAGTAATTATGTGGAACTGAAATCATCCTTAGAATTCGATTCTCTGTCATTATCCTCCTTTAGGCAAGTTCTTACCTTAATAAGCAAAGATTATATACCTCTTTCCAGAAAGTGGTAATTGAATTGCAGGTATAATAAAAATATTCTACAGGCAGAATTGCAGGGTAAGGTTGTGTACAATAGACCCTTGTGGTCCGGCCCTTCCCCGGACACGCGCATAGCGGGAGCTTAGTGCACTGGGCTGCCCTTTTTGTGTTTGTCACCTTCAGATAAGAATCCCTTTGCTCAATGATTGCCAAATCTTTTTGCTTTTACTAGATTCTTTTGAATATTTCCTTTTCATTTTTCATTCACCCACTTTATTCTCTTTCCTTTGCCTATATTTACCTAGATTCTTTTGAATACTTCCTTTTCATTTTTCATTCACCCACTTTATTCTCTTTCCTTTGCCTATATTTAAACACTTATGAAATCCTTTCTACCATAATATTTTCAACCTCTTCTTTGCTCTCACAAAATGACCATGACTATTCTTTACAGGAGGAAAACTAACCTGTATGTCTTACTGTTACTCCACTTCTTTTGTTACTCTTGTTCCCAAAAGACATGTCCAAACTGTGGTTCTCTAGAAGTTCCATATCCCTTGAGCACGAATCCCAACTGTGGCAACCCTGACTATTCTATCCGTTGTGATCCTCACTCTCACAAGCTCTATCTTGATACCCTTAATGGAAGCTCTTATGTCATCCTCAGAATTATGGCCTCGTTCCAGCGTATGGTGGTGCAACCATCACCCTGGATGCCTGGTACCTGTGTTACACAAGACATGTCAGTGAGTGAGGGACTCTGGTTGAACCAGACTCTTCCGTTTAATGTTACTTCTTCTAACACTATCTTCTTATTTAATTGTTCTCCTCGTCTTCTAGTATCCCCTTTAAATTGCACACCTTCTAGCTTGTGCCATAAATATCTGCTTAGCTCTGGACATGTAGATGCTAAAAGGGAACTTCAGTGTGCAAGTGATGTTGATCCATGTTGCACATTTATTGCTGGCGGTATGCCCTCAGCATACAAGATACGCCTGCATATCTCGGGTTGCCAAGCATTTAGAAGCATTCTACACTTGGATGCTATGAAGCCAGCTAATGAATGGGAAGAGGGATTGGAAATTCAATGGTCTCCTCCACCCGAGCCACACTGTAAATCACAATCTGATTGCTCTGGAGCTTCTACATGTTCACCTTCTGGTAAAAACGGTGTCTTTCGCTGTTTTTGCAATCGTGACTATTATTGGAACCAAAGTCTAGGAAATTGCATGAAGAAGAAACACCCTGGTTTTGTATTAAATATATCTATTGGGATTGCCTTGTTTTCGGCTTTTGCTGTTGTGGTGATTGCAGTTGCTTTGAAAAGATCAGGAAGAGTCTCAGCCAGGGCTAGGCTTGCTAAGGCAAGAGAAGACATTCTAAAATCAAACAATGGTGGAAAACCGGCCAGGATGTTTTGTCTTAAGGAGATGAAGAAAGCTACAAATGGATTCTCAAAAGACAGAATCTTGGGCCATGGTGGTTTCGGAGAAGTTTATAGAGGCGAGCTTCACGATGGAACGATTGTAGCAGTAAAGTTAGCCAAAGTGGGAAATGTCAAGAGCACTCAACAAGTACTCAATGAAGTTGGGATCCTTTCTCAAGTCAATCACAGGAACCTGGTCAAGCTTTTAGGGTGCTGCATAGAAGCTGAACAGCCTTTGATGATTTACGAATACATTTCCAACGGAACCCTCCACGATCATCTTCATGGTAAGTACTCCACCTTTCTTGACTGGAAAACAAGGTTGAAAATTGCTTCACAAACTGCAGAAGCATTGGCTTATCTTCACTCAGCTGCTTACCCTCCCATCTACCATAGAGATGTCAAATCTACAAACATACTCCTAGATAACGAATTCAATGCCAAAGTTTCCGACTTTGGGATATCAAGATTGGCTTGTCCAGGGTTGAGTCATGTGTCCACTTGTGCTCAGGGTACATTAGGTTACTTAGACCCTGAATATTTTCGCAACTACCAGCTAACCGATAAAAGTGATGTTTACAGCTTTGGGGTTGTGTTACTAGAATTTCTTACTTCTCAGAAGGCAGTTGACTTCTCACGAGACGAAAATAGTGTCAACTTGGTCTCTTATGTCATTCAGCAAGAAAACCACGGTTCAGTTATGGATGTAGTGGACAGGCGCTTGCTTGGCGAGGAGCCTTTGACTAATGTAACTACTGGTATGGACTCGTTCTTGGCGCTTGCACTTTCGTGTTTAAGAGAAACGAAGACAGAGAGACCCTGCATGAAAGATGTTGTTCAGCAACTTCACTGCATAAGTGAAATAGTTGATCAAGAAGAGCCTATTGAGGTTAGTTAGAAGTATCATAGTCCTAGAAGAAAAAAAATGTCACTGGTCTTGATCTTTTAAAATTCATATTAGTGTAAAGAAGAATTTTATAAAAGGCATGGATCTTTTTGTTGTACTTTGAGGTTGGGATCAGATGCTTCTTTTTCTTACACTGGAATAGTTAAAGAAGGGACCGTTGGCATAACTAGTAAAGTTGTTGTCATGCGGAAGGTCAAGGGTTCGAGCTGCCGAAACATTCTATTGCAAATGCAGGGTAACTTGTGGTTAGTGCACCGGGCTACCCTTTTTCCAAAGATTGACTATTCTAGCTTAATTCAAATTGAATTTTTTTGAATCCTTTTATTTGCAAGGAGCCGGTGTTTAGAATCCACATTGAGGTCCTTACTTTCCTAGGTTGGTGCCGCTCAAGGACCATTAAGTGGGGGATGAGCTCCCTACTATAATATTTTTTTTTCATTCTCATAGCTAGAACCTGAAATCTTTGATCGATGGAGGGGTCTTATCCATCCAACCATAACTCTCGATGGGATCAGATGCCTTACTTTGTCCAAAAAGCAGGATAGACAGTTTATGGATTGCAACTATGTGATAGTTTTGAATTTTGAATAGAATTTAGTATATTTGGTTATGCACTTTGCACTTAGAAGTCAACTAACATTTTTACTTATATTATATTTACTCTGCAAAATTATGATAATTCTTTTATATTTTATGGACTTTTGGGTGGATTCCCAATTTGAGAGGACCACAAGTCCACAAACTGTAATACTTGTCGAAGTGCTAATGTTAAGACAAATCAGTGTATCCACTCGCAGTTTGACACGTAGTCAATCCTTTCCTCTCTTTTGTTTTTTTGTTTCCCATTCGATGTCCGGAATCCACATTGGAGCTCCGACTAAATCCGGATCGCACTTTACGGAGCCCATTTGGGGTGGCGCTCCCAACAAGATTTTTTACCTAAGATTCGATCCAAGACCTCTGGTTAAGGATGAAGTAATCACACCACTGCACTACAATTCATGTTGGTTCCTCTCTTTTTTTAAATGCTTCCTTCAAAGGACTTTTTTTCAATTATCATTATCAAAATTCGAAATCAAGAGCTCAAATTAAAGATGAAGGAATCATGAACTTTCCACCACAATACATGTTGGTCAATCTTTTCCTTTTTTTTAGAGTATTTGCAACAGTAAAAATATTCATCATAACAATTTGACAAAACAATTAAAGGCATTCATCACAAGTGATAAGAAAAGAAAAGGCATAAGCTTTTGAGAATGGACATAATAAAAATGAGAAAACAAATAAATAAATTTACTAAGTGGTATAGTCATGATATGGTTTAGCTTAATATATAGTGGTCATTACTTAATACTAGTACTATATTTTATGGTTAATGTGTTATTGGATTTTTAATTAATAATAACTACCTAAAGATTAAGCAATCGAACTTCTTTTTTCTTAGGCAAGAAGACTACAAGTTGATTTATTAAATTATTAAATTGGATTTCTCACCAAAATGTATGGGCAAACAAACAATTTACACCTTATATAGTTTTACCATTTATACCTAAGAATTTATACTTTTTGACCTGTGAGAATAATTGTAAATGCATTTTTCGCTTCTAAAATTTATTGAAATTTTCTATTCACGAGAAGAAAGGGCTAATAGCTGAGAATTATGATAAGATGAATAGATCTATCCATCTTTAATTGAATGTCTCGAGTTGGAGCCTCGAGAACGAAAATAGTTTTTCATACAGAGGACTCCCCCTTCCCTCAATGGCCTTTATGTGATATGAATTCAAACTAATGGAGACATTTAAGTGGTACCAAACCCTAGTGAGAAAAAAAAAAAAGGAATAAAAGGACCAAAATGGATACTTCTATGAATTAAGTGGGTCTTATTGCCTCTTTCTTAAACTTATGAGGTCCAAGTGTAGTTTCTAGACTCTATTTTAAATTTATATAATACCTTTTTTTAGTTTCTGCATTTGGCGGCTAATTTTGGAATCTTGAAGAAACTCCCGCCAAAATTGTTCTTGAATCAAATTTTGGCGAAGAAGAAATCAATTTACAAAAATTACATTCAACTTTCTTGTATAGGAACTCAATTGAAAAAAGGTGCGTAAATACGATTTCGTTTTTGTTTTCGTTTAAGCAATTTCTGGGTTTATGCACATTACATGTTTGATGAAATGCTTCAGTTAACTCAGATTTTCATTATTTTCATCATTTTGACAATTTTTTGTTAAATCTGAAACACCCAAAGAGATTTTCGAAGGATTTAAAGCAAACCCAGATCCCCAAATTTTGAAATTTCAACTTATTCTTAGTGATTCTTATGGTAATTACTCACTGAGTTTCGTCCGAGTTGAAAAAAAAGATCAACTCATTGTTGCTACTATCCATGTTCCTTCTTTCGAGTCGATGTGGGTTGCTAAAATTTGACTCTGTAAGTAAAGTTGGATGACCCAACTGAGGTTTTTATGTGTTTAGCTTTCAAATGCATCAAATTTGCAAATTTGAAAGCTTGATTGTAGAGTGATGTTACCTTCCAGCTATTTCTGGAGCTCTTTTCTTCCATGAACAGCCAACACAAGCTCACATTTCACCCAAGTAACCGTAAATTGTACTTGTTTTCCCCCCTTTTACTGAACAAACATTCTCTTTTTATATTTGTAACTCAATTTACTGTCACTAGATTGGAATTATTCATTTAAGAAAAAACATTACTTTCGTAACTCTTTAGAGAAATTATTTGATATTAGTTATGCCAAAAATATTCGATAAAATTGGAAAACTCTTATTCAGACCTTAGAAAAACTACTTGATAGGAATTCCAATATAAGAAACTAGTTGTATAAGTACCATTTCATTTTCCAATTTTAGGGATTTCAGATTTACGTGTTTGAGGAATGGTTCAGTGACTGCAGGAAAAAATTGATCAGTGCTTGGCCCATTTGAATTGGAAGAAATGTATGGGAAGAAGGGGAGAGAATTAGTACAAGAATTTGCAGAGAGCGAACCCGGGCAGCTTGCAGCTTTTAATGTATGCAATTTATTCTATATTTGATCAGCTTACTAGAAATTAAATTTCAGATAGTTTTAATCATTTGCATTATTTCCATGTAGGCTGTGAAAATTGTGTAGATGATAGGTGTTGAGTCACTGAGATTTGACGTTATCTTCTTTCCCCTATTGTTATTAATGCTAATATAAACATGCAATCATCTTGCATTTATAATATATGGGTTCACACTAGAGGAATAAGGTAGCCAGGTAGATGTTTGTCATTATCATGCATGTCATAATGCTGTAGTGGGTTTTTCATACATCCAAGATATTGATCCTGTTATTAACAGAAGTATACATGTAGTTCTACTTCTTCTTTTTAAGGAGTTTTATTAGAAAATGAGTGATCATGAGTGCTTCTTACATTAAAATAAAGTTGATGTTCTGCAGGGTCAATTTCTTTGCTGCTACTTGAATCTTATAAACATTTTGATTCATTACATATTTGGTCTGCTATTTACTTAGAGTTTTATACTTACAGAATAGTTTCTTGTTCAATGCAGACTGACCTAGTTACACAAGTACTTGAAGAATGTAACAGCCATTTCCTGCACCTCAATTCCTTGGTGAGGTATATTTAACACGTTCCTTGTGGTTTCCCAAGCTTTCTTTGTTTGTTATTCATCTCTTTCTGCAACCTTATTGTTGTATAACCCATAACATGCTATTTGTAACAGTAGTTAGGTGAGCTTTTTAGTGATTCTTATTGTTGCAAATATTTTACAGAACAAGTGTACCTCGTGTATTTTCTTAACTGATATCCTGAAACTGTCCTATTTTACCTGTTTTCTTGTCCAGTTTGCTTCTGATCTAGGCCTTGAACATAGATACTTCATCAGTGCTCTATCATATGCTTTTCTTCTCCATAATACTTGTGTGTCAGCATGCTGAATTTTCTGAAGTTTTTGCTTTAATGTATTAAAGATGGTACTACATAGTAAGCTGAGAGTCATTATGTAAATAATAGAAGTTAGAGGTTAGATAGAAAATAGTTAGTTAAAGTAGTTACAAAAGATTCTTTCCTTTCCTGTATATATATATGTACTGATCTTGTTCAGTTATTAAAGAAATAGAGTTCACTTTGAAATTTAATACTTCTGAATTCCTTTCTCTGTAAACTGAGGATATTCCATAAGCTATCTTCTCTATGAAAAGATAAAGCCAAAAGGAAAGGAAGTAGAAGATGAATTCAAGTTGAAATAGATCCAACCCTCTTTTTTCCCTCCTGCTGTGCCATGTTCAGCCCTGGTAGGGTATATTTATAGTTTTCATGTAAGAACACGTCTAAGAACCAGTATCTGTCTGATAGCAACTTGGCACTGTGTTCCTATAGTTCTATTTGTCTGATGGCACCTAGGCACTGTAGCCTCCAGGTTTGTGCCATGCTAGCGCCTAGGCACTAAGCTCTCAGAATGTTTCTGTGTCTTGTAGTGCCAAATGCTATGTTTGTATTTTCTGAAGCTTTCAACTTTGCTGCTTCTGGGCTAATTCAGTATTGAGCATTAGGTGCTTGTCCTCCCACTTTCCATACCTTCTATTTAATTGGCTACATCATACTGCATGAGTGTCCTAATTGCAAACTGTTAAATTTGATGTCCATACACCAGATTCCAAAGGCATATAATTTCATCAAATATCACACATCAACTTGGATTAGTCTCGGTTCATTTCTGAAATTGAGTCAAATCCAGCATGTTGACAATGTGTTTCCCAACAAAAGTCATTCTTTCCTTACGCATGTGTATTCTTCTCTATGTGCCAAATGGAGTACAACTTTGTTTCAGACCTTATCCATCTTGAGTTTGACACAGGAAAATGAATGCAAAAACTCCTGCTGAAAGTTCAAGTGCAAACCGACCAACTCAGAACGACGCAGTTTCAAATAACGAATCACCTGATGACAACGAGCCACCTGAGACTGATAGAAGTTCCAATGCAGAGCTCCCCAAAGATGATAATTACCATGGGCTGCTTATCCATCATCAGTCTCTCACTCGCAACAAGCGCTGTCTGATGGCTTATGTGTGAGTAACAGTTAGCTTCAGAGTTGTCTTTGGGAAACGGTCATATATTCCTGATCTTCCTGCATCTCTTATGTTCGTTGTCGACTTTCTTTCTTGTTCCTTCTTTAGATATAATCGAGCAGAAGTTGTTCGAAGATTGGGATGGACCCTTGAGCGTGTCCTCCCAGAAGAAATTGAAGAGAAGCTTAGTACCTCAGAGAAAGAATATTTTAAGAATCATGCTGGAACTATCCAATCATACATGTCATCACTTGATCTTGATTTGGGGGTGGTAAGTGTTCTTTTCTCGTAACTTCTTGCTTGTGTCCTGATATATTGCTCAAAGACTATAGTGAATAGACTTTTACACCTAACAAATACTACTATGCCTGAAATTGCAGAAAGTAGACTCTTACTAAGTCCTAACCAGGGCATGTTTACTTTTTTTGATAACCAAACCAGGACATGTTTTCTGTACTCTTGGCATTATAGTATGATCTCCTAGAAAAAAATTTGCATTTCCCTCCTTCAAAAGGTTAATTGTTGTAATCTGTGACTGTTTAGGAGCAGTATGTGTAATTACCAAAATTTGTTCGAATCCAAACAGCAGAAAAAAGGGAAACTGTCCATTAAACGTCATATGATTCACTTCTAAATAGTGTCTTGTTCTTTTTTTCTTTCGTTGTGTTGATACGGAACTATAGTGACTGTTTTGTTTATCTCATTGATCTCTGGTTCTTATGAAGTGTCAGCAAGTCGGAAAATTGATATATCTGAAGCTAAAGTTATTTCTTGAAGTTCTGTAACATTGAGGGGTCCTAGCCTAACGATGCTCCCCGACAAGTAATTTTTATCTCTAGGTGGGGTGCAAAAGGAATGTCACCCTCCATAGCATATCTGCACATCTTCCCCATCGTTGCACTCTCATCAGTGTTGGTGTGCCATCGGAGCAAGAGAAAGAAGCTTGGATTGGAGTGTGGATGGTGACTTGTTAGGAGGGTGGCAGATTTTTCCTTTTCCGTTTCTTTCTTTTGTGAGTAGGAAGTATCAAATTTGCTCATTGCATTTGACTTTAGGCTTCGGATAACTATATCAATCATTGGACTAGAACTATCTCTGAAAAGAACACGAAGCTAGGGCAGCAATGCGAAGGCTTGTGAGTGCATTAAGTAAATTAAACAGATACTCGATTATCAGAAGTTCAATGTGCTAAAATAAAACACTACATTGACAAGCAAAAATATGACATCACTCCATGTGTTTTCTAGAATATCTGATCAATCTGCAAGGGACTGCTTTCCTTATAAACTTTAAATCTCTGGGAGACCCGCACAGTGCAAATGATAAGAGACTTGGCCAAGTACCTTAGCTTCCTTATGTTTTGCTTTTCACAGGATATGGTGCCTCCAAAAGATCCCTATATCAAGGTGAGGGTCCTTGATGATATTGGTAATGTGGTCCTCAGCGACCAATTAGCCAACCTTGCTCGTCATGCAATTCTTTTCATTAGGCGCACTGATGCAGAGCAGTATATTTCTCAGGTGATTTTCCCATACAACAGAAAATTGCAGTAGAAATAAATGCATCTACCTTTTTCTCAAACTGCTAGCCTTTGCCTCTAATTACAGGGCTTAATGGAAGAACTCACGAGTTGATTCTAATGACTATGAGTTACAAGCTGATTCTGATAATCGTGCATTGCTTTTACCCAAAACCAGCAGTGTCAGGGCAACTAATTCTGATAATCTGCAGTTTGAGAAGGCATTGGAGAAATGGAGGGAATCATTGAGTCTGATATCAAAAAGGGTTTGTTGATTTTACTGACATCTAAACTAGAAGTTGAATTGTAATCTAGACTACAAAAAGTGAGTGTATTCTGAGAGCTTATTGCTCTTGGGTGAACAAAGAACACAATTTACTTGTCCTGTATATTATAAGTCTTCCCTGAAACATGATCTACAAGAACAAAACGGAAATAGTTTGGCTTATGCTCTTGTTTCTTTTTGCTTGCTATAATTGTTATTCTCTCTACCAAAAGAACAAAGACGATACAAACACACACAAAAACATTTGTAGTGCATAAATTACTCAATAAACAAAACTCGATGTGCGGGGAACTTTATTGAATTGAGTCTAAGTTCTGCAGAAAGAGGTGGAACTTTGTTGTTTCATCTTTCCTAACACACTGGTAGACTTCAATCTTATTCTTCGAATCAATCTTCTTTCTCAAATATCATCTGACAAAGTCAATATGAAATGGAATACAACTATAACATGTAAAGAAATGAGAAATTCCAAACACATTGTCAAACATAACATTGTCGACCCCAAATGTTATAGCAGTATCATTAAGTACAACGATTTTGTTTCTATCATGTCATATCGGAGAAGTAATAACAGCCACAAAATCATGATACAAGTAGCCACCATACAAACAACACTTAGCTAGATTTATTTCCTAGTGACACAAACTTGATGGAAACCTCTAACATTGTGCATAATTCGTTGCTAAGTTGACTGCAACTTAGCAGAGAGAAGATTTGGAAGACATGAATCTCGAGGGGAAACTTCAGTCTTGGGGAGGTTGAGCATCTCAACTGCTTTTTGCACCATTGCTGCCAGAGATTCTGGTGACTTGAACAATGATAAAAGCTCTGAGTTGTCCATTTCCAAGAGCATTCCTGTAACCTTTGCAGCAAGATGGGGCTACAAAAAGCATATTAGTTTTGTTAATTCTCAGGGTAACAGCAAGACCGATACAGAAGCTAGACCAGCTCTATATAACCAACGGATAACGAAGCTCAAAACTAAATGGCTTCAAAAAGCTTCTTGACAGATCACCCACACCAACATCAGTAAAATTGTCAGAGATGGATCAAGTCTTCTTTCAAGTGTTTATCTACCCCTTGGATTCTCCATGAAGAACCAAAACAATTGCAGCAGACAAATTATTCTGCATTAGTGCATAGGGTAGCTATTATAGAAGAGAAAAGGACAATTATAAAGGATAGAGAAAAAGCTCACCTTGTGTTGACTAATTAGAGGATAAAGGTGGTCTCCAAGTATCTGTTTCTGCTGCTTAGGAGGTGCAGTGGTAAGCATAGTACTCAGGTTGTCTGAAACCTCAGACAATGATCCTTTTGTACTGGTGCCAGCAGAGAAAACACATCCTTTCTTCATACCACAACCATTTGGTGCATATTTGACCTACAAAGCATACATAAATTGTGTGGTTACTAAAACAGGGATGCTTAACTGTGATCCATCATGCAAAAGGAAATTTTAATTTTCCCAGGATACTTCTCACCTAGGTGAAGGCATGCACCAAAAGTAGGAAACTTGAAGCAATGAAGCTCATCAATGTACACATATTAGTGAATGAAAAAAGAAGCACTTTGTTATGGGTTACAACAATTTGAAATAGACTACAATTTCTTTCCATGACAGGATCGTAAGAAGAATCAGTGCAGGCAGAAGTTTAGTAACAAGATGATAACCGAATTATGGAAAAATATCTCAACTTTTAAAATACACATACTAAGTAATCTGCACGTGAGATTAACAATTTTGCATCATATAAGCTAAGAAAACCAAAAAAAATGCTTGAGTTAAAAGATAGAGTAAATATGGGCTGAATGATTTATGATACTGTAATTCTTGTAGTTACAGACTTACAGTTGAAACAATAATTCAAATCAATCAAACAATTTCCGGCTAAAAATCACATACTTAACACTAGTTAAGTGAAGGCCTAGTTTTTCAAATATATGAATAATGATCAGAAGATTCAGATAAAAAGAATATATGAAGAACACCAAAAAAGGAAACATAAATCAGTACACGAACTTGAAAATCAAATAAAACAACATTTATCCTCATCCTAGCAAAATGATTAATCACTATTCTGAATAGGCATTTGAAGACATTATCTTTTTCCATTGAGGTAAAAAGGCAAAGTCACACATTTTCAAGGGAGGAGTCTCAGAAAAAACATTCAACTTCAGCATTCTAAAATGGAATATTGAACTACTACGCTGTGCAGATCAACAAATACAAAACTCAGTCAATCAAAATTCCAATTTATGAAAAAAGGATAGCAAAAAGTTTAACCTTTTGAGTATAGCTAGATTGCTTTGATGATGCCACTGATTGGACTGATTGCTGCCAGTAAGGCACCTCTGGCATATGTCCGTTCTTCTTTCCCCTAAGCTGCCTATATTGTGAAGCACTAGGAATCTGAAAAATGAGACGAAAGTGGTAAGAAATTTCATCATAGGTTTAAACCTGAAACATGCCCATGCAATTTAGTGCCTCCGGACTACTGCTGAAAAGTTCAAGATTCTGTTATCCAACTCTATGAAGTAGTAAAATTGCCGAAGTATTATGAAAATTTACAGTTGGACTAACCAAGGAAGTTTGATAAGAAGGTCTAATAGAGTTTGCAAATCCATTGGCCATCCAACCATGCCTCATAATCAGAGGCTGATACAGCAGCCCTGGTTGTTCAGATACTTGTAGATCACCAGGGGCTGGGTAGTACAGAGGGGGATATCCACCCGGGAAAAAAGCGGAAGATCCGGTGAGACCTGCAATTCCTTGTGCATGCTTAAGCAGTAATTGAGTTTGCCTTTCCTCTTTCCTTTGAGCAATAGCCACATACAATGGCTTTTGGCCAAACATAAATCCTGTGGAATGTCTAACAACGTCAATATACTTAATAGGGACCTTAAGAGAAACCTTCTAATATAACATTGGAAGAATATAAGCCGTCAAACTGAAGAACATATGAATAATATGAGAGAAAATTGAAGGGAAAACGAAATGGAAAGGCATCTGTTAATTTTCTTTCAATGAATACCTTTATTTTCTGTGTTCAATTAAGACACATAAAATAACAGTAAGGAATTTTGTTCATGAGAGACGATTGTTGTTGATGCAAGCATGACATGGCATAAAAACATAATCCGGTGTATCACTACGTACTTGACTAACTAATCTAGGGAAGCCTGGCAGTGATCTATTTTTAAGAAATTAAGTTTATTGTTTGCATTGTCTTGGAACAGCTTTCGTTTTTTCTAAGATCTCTGTGTTCATTCCTCGTTTTACTATTCCACACAAAAGTTCACTTACAACTAAATTAAAATGCTACAACACTAGAAAACACATTGATCACAGATTTCAGAATAGTAATTAAAAATAAGAGCTTAGAAAATGCCATGACGAAGAATATATGTACCATCCACGAGCTTAGTCAGAGGTTAAACCCTTTAGTGCAGAGGTATTAAAAGGAAGCAGAGACCAAAAATCCAGTGTGCACGCAGAGAAAAGATGGGAAAAGGAGCCATAAAAGAAGAAAAACTAGGTTTGGAATTTAACATGATTGAAAGGTCTTGTCTATTGGCAAAGTGCAGCAAGCACTATAACTGAACCATATGTGGGACAATTAGCCTAAACTCAACTAGACCAACCAAACAAAAAGTTGCTTGCCTGACATGATACCCATATAGGCATTACGGAATCTAAAGTTAGGGCCTGAGGCATTTGACAGAGACATGCATTTCTGCATTAAAGTTCTGGAGTTCTATAACCCCTTAACCCTGAATTTCATGAGTATATCCATATTGATAGAGTCATTCATCAGGAACTCTATCCATGCTGTAACACTTCATTATTTCTGACACCTCCTTTAGAAAGAAAACAGTGTAAAGTAGTACTACTTATTTACTTAAGCTGGGATATCTGTGCTCAAAAACGTAATAAGAAAGAAGATGTTAGATAGCACCAAAATTTATTGCAAGTTCTAGCTCATGTGAAACAACATTCAGTGCCTTGGCATTCACCATGATCTAGACCGAGTAAAAAGATATATAACTTACCATGAAAAGTATTCACCGCTTTATTGGCCTCCTCTGGTCTGGAAAAACATACAAATCCAAAGCCCCTGCTGACTCCTTTTTCATCTAGCATAAGTTTTGCAGAAGTGATTTTGCCACATTGACTGAATAATTCACGCAACTCGTGATCCTTGACATCACCATCGATATTTTTGACGTACACATTTGAACCCTATGATGACATTAATCGTGATAAAAAAATGGACAATACAATACAGTAACACATTTTTTCTACAGTAACATATATCTTTTAAATGAGGAAATGAGAAACAAAGATACCTGGTACTTAATAAGTCGCTCCTTCCTTCTCTCCTCAAACAAACGCCTCAATATCTGTTCGCGTTCTGTTTTCTTTTGTGCTCTTGCTACATACAAGATCTTGCAGCCTGCCCAATGCATACAGGTCATATAAAGACTCTTGAACACTGTAGCTGTTAGTTACATCTGAGAATACAACAGCAAGATAAAGTCAAAACCTACCAAGTTTTGATCCATTCATAGCTTCCCTTGCTCTCCTAGCATCATCTGGATTCTCAAAGTTCACATAACCAAAACCTTTTGAACATCCATTCTCATCTTTCGTAATGACCAAGCTGATAATTTTCCCAAATTCAGAGAACTTCTCTCTAAGATGCTCTTCTGAGATGTCCAGACCCAGGTTCTTGATGAACAAATTTGTATATTTCTCATCAGGGCTGGGCAGAATCCGGTCACTCTTTTTGACGAACTTTCCTACATACCTATCCATAATGGATGTAAAAATATTGGGGACAAAATAAGGTTAAAAGTGTGCAAGAGAAACAGTTTTTTCTATATACTCTATCAAAGTTCATCGGGATCACTATAAATTATAACTGAGAGAATTTCACATACATCTCCTTTCCTCCAACAGCAGATCCATTGAGCTCCTCAATAGCAGTGTTTGCACTGTCCTGAGTCTCAAACTGGACAAAGCCAAATCCTTTACTCCTTCCATCCTCAGAAACGGCAACTTTACAGGATAAGATATTTCCAAACTTCTGGAATATTTCTTCAAGCTTCGTGCTGTCAATTGTATCATTTAGATTCT